TTTAAGGTGACTGTAAGTGATGAAGGACAGTATTAGTTATATTGGGTGCACTTTACTTTAGGTCCTACACTCATTCGAATGAAAATATCGATTATTCGATTGTTTCATTCGATATATCATTTGGTTAGTTAGGTTAGGTTAACCTTACCTAACTAACCAAACGATATATCGAATGAAACAATCGATAAATCGATATATCGATCGATATTTTTATTCGAATGAGTGTAGGACCTTAAGTAAAGTGCAGCCGTTATATTTTATACATACAGTATAGCCAATGCACATAGGAATGTGTCCAATGCAAGGCAGGAGTCTGCTAGGAGCTAGAGTATTGAACTTCGGCCATTGTCCCAGTGAACCCACCTCTGTCACACAACAACTATTTGACTGTATAAAACACTGAACGAAACAGAGCTTATGAATTAACCAGACACCCTGTAACGCCGGCTTGTCCCTTGCAGAGGAACGAGGTTCAATCGAAATGAAATAAAATAAGACTCACACACAACATCATGGTCTTATCGCAAAATTAAATACACCGTGTCCCAAAAAAAACTGAACAATTTTATTTACTCATAAAAAGTTTATTAACAATCACACGATAAACTAATTACATTTTGACTGACCCAAATATTCCTAAGTTTTGTTTGATATCATATGTGTTAATGATTTTCATCATGGTTGCCATTGTTGGCAAAAAGATAGTCAATACGGCTGTCCAATTCAGCCCACACTCTATGCCGCATTTCGTCAGTAATGATAGTAAAGGCTGCATTTATTCTTTGCCTCAATTCTCGGACATCGGAAACTTCTGTCTTATAAACTTATAATTTTGACAAATTTAACTCACATGCTGCACAGCGAACAGACTTTCGAGGGTCGTGAAGAAATAATTGTTGCACGTTTTCAATCAATTCATTTTGGATTTTCGGCCAACCTTTACCTTTTAAATGTTGTAAGCTTCCAGTTAACATAAATTTGTCATACCTTGCTCGAATGCTGTTCAGTGATGGAGAACGTCGACCATAGCGTCTTCTAAATGTTCTTTGCACTGCAATATCTGACTTACTTTGAATGTACCACTCAACGCATTGCGCTTTCTCTCGTGCGTTCATGGTGCCTGCTTAATGACAGGGCAATGTTTTTAAATTTCAAGTTTCAAGCGACAACAATGAATCAGCTGATAGTTACAATTGATATTGAACAAAACTTCATGAGCTCAGTTATCATGATCACCTTCAAAGTAAACTAGTTATGCCCGGACGTATTATATGACAATTTAAAATTGTTCAGTTTTTTTGGGGGACACGGTGTACTATGTAAATGGTATAAATATCAAATCATAAAGTTTGTAATGAAACAAATCTAATAAATCAAATGCTTGTTCCAAGAAAGACAGAGTACTGGTCAAGAAAATATCAGTTTTCAATACTGGTAGGCTACTCATTATTAAAAAGTCTTTGGCTATTTCAATCTGACCTAGATCAAAATCAAAATAAAGAAACATTACAATACCACTTTTGAGTGATATCGAACACGCTTTTATACATGAAGGATGTGATGTGGTCTGAAAGAGTTCCGTAGAGAGTGAAAGAGTTTAAATATAATACAATCATTTTGTCTACGTTATAATTTTCCAATTTTGGGTGAGGTTTAACCGGAATCTACCACAAATTGACAGCTTTCCCCCTGCAATTAGTATGAGACGTAAATAAAATGCATTTGAGGAACAATGGACGATTTGTGACGCACGGATGCACCTAGCCTCAACGTGTGCGGCTTGTACTTCTGGTAGTTCTAGGAAGTGGAAGGTACTAATGTACTTGAAAGTATTCGAAAGCTTAGCTTTCATATGTGGTTTAGTTTAGTTTCAATCCCAACTTCGTGTGGCGACTTTGGTAATTCGCATGAGGAAAGATGCTAGTTTAATTTGGATCGACGAAATGGAAATCAAATTGCAAAGCTAGGTGGAACAGAACAGAAGCTAGCAGACGTGGCTTATGTTTCGTTTTTATAAGTGAGTTCATTTAATTAAAATGCAAATAATTAATTTACCAGTACAATTCTTACGCTATTTATGTTTTGGGTACAAAATGTAGTAGGAAAGAATTAAATTATAAATTATAAAATAGTAACTGTCGGTAGATATGGCTAGTTGAGCTAGTTCAACCAACTAAACTTCGTAGTTTCTTTTCTTCAAGAAAACTGTCACGGTTTGGGGAGGAGGGGCCAGAAACGACTATATAACTAAAGAAGAGATGACAGAAGCAATATTGTTACGAACCGATAAATTTGGGGTGATATTTAACTTTCAATCGTAATACCGATAACTAATTTACAAAAAATTCCAATCATGTACAAAACTATTTCAAATCGTTCAAAATTGTTTCAATGCTCTTCAATGTACACAATTGATGAACAATTAGTTAGATGAAACGTCCCTAAGTATTTTGTAATTTAAGGATATTCATAAAATGTAGAATACAACGTGTCCCAAAAAGAATGGATCATATCTACAGCTTAATATACGTGTTACCGAAGGTCCTAAAAAAGTCAACTATGGCTAATTTTAAAGCTGATATCTTAGTGTTTCTTTCGGTACTCTTCAACAGAAATCAGCTGGTCCATTGTTGTAGCCTGTTTGAATTTTTTTAAACATTAAGCTGCAATATAGTAAATGGAGTTGCAGTTGAAAGCACAGTGTATTGAATGGTTTATAAAAATCTGTGGTGTGATTCTTTAGGTTTTGGGGTTTGTGAAAGATCAAGTGTGTCTATCGCTCATTCATCTCAATTATAGACCAATTTAAAGCAAAGACAAGGGAAGCCTTTGGAAAAAATAGGCTACACCACAATGTGCAGTCAGAGCTGGAACATTGACTTCACTTTCTTTGACTAAATAGCAGAGAACATGTAGAGATTAGGCAGTGAAACAATAGTAGGAAAAACTTATGAAGTTAAGGAAAAAGGTATATATAAAGTAAACTTTTAATCTTTAATAATAAAGTATTTATGCAAGTTTACTTTTGATCCATTCTTTTTGGGACACCCGGTAATTGTCTACCTGTATTACCTCGTCAATTGAAAACTGAGCCCCGTACATCCCGGCGCCAAAATGCAAACAATTTAACAGCTGTTCACACATAACTTGTTTGAGTTAATAATTATCCCTAGACCTCCTTCAATGAGAGGCTTGTGTGACTCTTCGGCTGTTAAACATGAACAAGTTAGTGATCGAACCTAGGATTGTATGGGATTAAAGGGCTGTTTAAAGTAAGCTGAGGGATGAATTGGATATTACACTAATGAATGGGGTACTGTGTCTTGTATTTTTATGAACAATTAGGAAAACATGAAGGAGGCAAAGTTATAAAAAGTAAATGTAAGAACGAGGAGAATTAATGACAATGTGTGAGGAATTTCATACTTTCTTGAACGGAATCGTGAGAGGAAAATTTTATTCAAATAATTAAATCGTTGAATTAAATGGGATTTTAATGACAAGTTTTTTGAGATTTTGTCTTAGTTTAGAACAATTTCAAAACTCTTTTAAACTTACGGGGTACCAAAACGAATTTTGTGTCAATATTTTCACTGAAAATTAGGATTAAAAATGTTTACAAAAAATGTTATTTTCCTATTGGGTGAGAGGTAAAAAAGGTAAACCGAGGATAACAATGTATTTTTACAACAAGGTGTGCCATATCTTATATTCAGAAATTTGTTGCTCAATTCCCATTAAAATTTTAAATCTCAAAATTAGACTAAAGTATACCGGTACTTATAGTAAGGAGAGAATGAAAAGTAAAAACCAAATTATGAAATAAGGACATTTACGACATCACATGGCAGTTTTTGTCTTTTAACAATCAAATTATGGTACCTTATGGAAAAGATTGAATAAAAAGTCTACTTTGAGATTTTTACGTTAATCTCTGGGATGTGACGTCGTGTTTGAAAACTAAATACATTATAAGAACTATTTGGAACTGTATATGCTATTGACTATAGATAGGATGACTCAATCTGGATAACCAAGTCGGGAAACCCATATAGATAGTCCATCTAGACTAAGTCAATACGTATACCATAGCGTAGATACATTATGTAGGCCTAGTTAGTAATAAACCCCACAAAAAACCCTAGCTACAAACTCATAATGTGAACGAACACAGTTTTTAGTCCACCGTGAAGTTGGATAAAGTCAAAAGTCAACTGTATGATGAAATGTAATCTTATGACATAGTGTAGGATGTTGGATGGATATACAACAACACCAATGTGCTGTGATGTGATGGCGACTACCGACTTCACATGCCATTGACCTGGTTCTTCGGTCGGACGCGCTATTTTTACCGCCCAGACGTGTTTACTGTTCACTATTTCTGATCAGTCCCTATCAACAGTAGAATGCAGCCACTGACTTGTGTTTGACCATAGATTAGACAAAGGAGTAGATGTCACTGGCCCGAAAGTAAATATTTGTGTATTATTTATTTAAATGGAACAAACGTCCAAACATGTTATTCCAATAGTAAAGGATTCGGGCCAGTGACGTAATTTGTTCACATTTATGATCCATACCGGGTGTAATATTCGTGGTGTATTCATAAGAATAACGTAACTTTGGAAGCCAGTGGGGCGGAGTCTTAGTAGAGTTTTCTAAATAAAATAGGAGTTTGTTTATATGTGGCATATTGGCTATGCACCTACAAAATTTCAGCTCAGTTGGTCCAGTATTTTGAACGTAAATAATGTGACATACTAACAACATCCAAACGTTCGCGTTTATGATATTAGTAAAGTTTACCGAGTAAATGATTGAAATTTGTCGGAATTGGATCTGTTTAAAAATGAAACTCAAGCTGCAAAAAAGTTATCTCAAATATCTACCCCATTGTATACAGAAACTTCTGCAGTAGATAAAATATTTTGACTTATTTACTGTTTTGTTGGAATTGGATCTGAATCAATGTGTAACCGACATATTTGTTTTTGCAGGTTTGGGTAATGCCAGAAGACAAGATGGTGGCGCCTTCACGTGGAGAAGAAGTGGTGTGGGACAAGCAAGTGACGAACGGCGGGGGCGCAGCCCTGCTGGCGGAGCACAACGGTGCGGCCATCACGGGGTCGCCGAGGAGGCCGGAGTCGCGGGGCGAAGACCTGCAGTGCGGTCTGGGAATGTGCACTCCCGGCTGGCTCCAGGTGTTCGCCTCCAAGCAGGCGTTCCTGGTCACATTCTGCGTCACCTGGGTGCTGCAGGGGATGTACTACACGTACTTCGTCAGCGTCATCACCACGATAGAGAAGCTGTTTCAGCTGCAGAGCAAGACCACAGGAGTGATCATGAGTGCAACGGAGATAGGTCAGATAGGCTCCTCGCTGCTGTTGACGTACTACGGCGGCCAGGGTCACCGACCCAAGTGGATCGCCTGTGGGATGGTTCTGTTCGCCGTCGCATCCTTCACCTGCTCCCTGCCACACTTCATCTTCGGCGAACAGCTGATGCAGAGTAGAGAGACGATGTTCAACAGCATCACCCAGACGCCTAACTCCACCGTGATGAGGCCCGACGTCTGCCACGCCGCGGAGTTGTTCTCCCTCAACACTCCGGCGTTGGAGGAGTGTAGAGAGGAGGCGATGCAGGAGCAGAATGCGCAGACGAAGACGACGAAGAAGGTGCTGGTGATATTCTTCGTGAGTTTGTTAGGCGTGGGGATGGGACAGACCGCTGTGTACACACTAGGGATCCCCTACATAGACGACAACGTGGCTGGTAGAGAGTCGCCGTTGTACTTCGCAATCACTATCGGAGTGCGGATATTGGGACCAGCGCTAGGGTTCATCCTAGGGTCTCTGTGCACCCTGTTGTACGTCGACCTCTCCGTGGACCCTCCAGTGACTCCCAAGGACCCTCGATGGGTCGGCGCTTGGTGGTTGGGTCTCGTGTGCATCTCCGCGCTTCTGATGCTCGCGTCCTTAGCCATGTTTGCGTTTCCTAAAAGACTGAGTACTTGTAGAGTCGTCGCTCCTTCTGTGAAGAAGCGCGAACGCAAGAACCCCAGCCTCAGAGACTTTCCGAAAGCCATCAAGAGGTTGCTGAAGAACGACATCCTCATGTTTCGCACGGCCAGTAGTGTGCTGCACATTCTGCCCATCGCAGGGCTCTACACGTTCTTGCCCAAGTACCTAGAGTCGCAGTTCAGGCAGACAGCCCATACTGCCAACATGGTCTCCGGTTAGTATCTTTCATTTTTCTTCCAATCATTTTTTAATACCACCTCTTAAATTTATTTCATAAAAATAATCTTAAAAAATACCTGTAGGCCTAACAAATACTTACCAAAATCGATAGTTTTAAGGGTGTGAAACTCTGAACTTGGACATCCATATGATCGTAGGCCAACTCTTGGAGAGCTTGACTGCAGACTGCAGCATCTATTTGTTGGTGGACGACACCATCGTCGAGATGGGAGAGCTGTTTGATTTACACACATAATTCATTAGGCCATTAGGGTTTTTTTATTAGGCCTTATGTACTGTTTGTGACATATTTCAGTAAATGAATCAGTGCATACAGTTTGGAAGATATCCATAAGATTGGTGAACATTCTTAGTTGATAATCCTTTTAATTAAATGTGTTAATTTCCATTGACATATTTATGCATGATACAGTATTTTGTCAACACATTATGTAACCACGGATTAATTATTTACAGATCAAACGGATGACAGAAAAGTAAACCAAAACTCTTACAACTAAGTATAATTCACCTAATAATATTTGGTGCAAAACTGCACTCACCACGAGTCGGATTTGAACAAGATTTTTATCTGAACCAAAGGTGATAAAATAATAAAACCCAACAGGCTCACGTGCAATCGGTTCTCCAACTCACTCACGTTCACGTTTGAAGTTGACCTTAAAAAATGACGTCATCGACAATATTCGCGGACTAATCGAATATTACTTTCTAACCGGAGGCTACTTTCATTCTTTTGGCGAACGGCGCGGGAATCCCGGCATTGTATTGTCTAAAAATGCTGATTTAGTTGTAAAGTGCGTCATACACCTTCCAGCTTACCACTCTTACCAGAATTTTTGTTTAAAAGTATTGGTACGGTAAAGTTAGATGGGGAATCATTAAACCCAAAACTAGTAATGCAAATTGTGAAGCACGAATTTAATGCACAGTTTCATTAAATTAATACCAGGATTGCTTCGTAGCAGTGAACGCCAGTTGAGCGGAGCGATCATGTTTCATGCCAAATCAAAACAAAACAATAAATCATATACATATAAATCAACCGTAATCGATAAAATACAACTGTAATCGATATATTAAAACTACTAGCAGAGTACCCGTCCTTCGTACGGGGTTGGCATATAAGTATCAAATGCTTATAGCAGTTATGAGTGAGGACATGGTTTAAGAAATTTCGGTTCTTTTTGAAGTTCGTTCGCTACGCTCACTCACCTTTAGGTTGGAGCTCGTTCGCTGCGCTCACTTTCCTTCAGGTTAGCTCGTTCGCTACGCTCACTTGCCTTCAGGTTAGCTCGTTCGCTACGCTCACTCGCCTCCAGGTTGAAGTTCGTTCGCTACGCTCACTCACCTTTTGCTGTTGTCACAAATGTAAAAGAAATAATAGTGCTAGTGCTGAACCCTGTTGGTAATCCTTGTAACTTTTAATGCTATTGAACATCATAGAACAGAACCAACTTGTTTAATTGAAACAGCTGTTAAGATTCATTAATTCCATTTCTCATAAGGTTAACATGGGAAACTCCAGAGCCACTGGGGCGGAGCCCCGAAGGATTTTTTGGGATAAAAATATGCCTATATGTTAATCGGGAATGTGAGCTATCATCATGCCAAATTTCAGCCCGATCCGACCAGTAGTTTTTGAGATTAGCTCATACAAACACACACACAGACACCACCTCTTCTTTATAATAGTATAGATTTCATCAATTTAACTTATCAGTTGTCTCAGAACCATCGACACCTATAACAAGTTTCATAAATAAAGATGTGGACATTATACTCTATACATATCCGTTGTTTCGGCATTTTTATCTATGTTTGCTTGCTAATGTCTTCTGGTGAACCCACATTTCTGGTTGAACCCAACCAATCGACATTTTTTTCAACCTTGGCCAGTTCTCGCAATTCAGGCAGAAATCATGGACATGGATCCATATGATTGGTAAATTTTAAAGACTTGCTTTGAGATAATTGCACAAATAGTATTCACCATACCTTAAAGTATATTTTCTTTAAATGATTAAACACATGAAAAGGATTTTTTTCAAGTGTTCTACATTCAACTATCTCAAAACATTGCCAGAAGTAGTTTGTTCATGTGTTTCGAGCATTCATTTGCTCGTCTTCATTTTCTACAAGTATCAGGTAGTTTTTGAGAATGCATTGTTAAATTGCCCTTAATATTACTCTCTTATGCGAATTAGGCATTTTCTTGTAAAACAAAAATGTAAAAACATTAGGCTTACTTACTTGGGCAATTTATACCCCAAGTCCCAACACTTGGACACTTGGTGTATTCGTTGCGACATGCGGATCAATACAACACGCCGATCAAGTGTATTGCCAACACATACAGTACTATCATAAAAAAAACTTTCAAATTTTACAATAGGCTGGGAAGTCCTATAGAAAACGTTGTTTAAACTCAGTTATGATAAAACAAGCAAACTTAAATAAACATTTAACAATAATGCTTTATTAGTGTAAAACAGCTGATTAACTCTTGTTTTTAGCGAATTTCCTTATACGGAAGTAGCTATTACCGTAGGTGGCACGGTAAGACCTAGACCCGGGACCGATTTACTTTTTCATTTTGATGTCCCCAGAGGCCAAAAACACCATTCGTTAAAATTTTTATATATGTAGTTTATATATATATATATAAATATATATATATATATATATATATACGGTCGTATATATATATATATATATATATATATATATATATATATATATATATATACGACCGTGAACGCGATAACTTGAGTAATTTTTGTCCGATTTTGATGAAATTTGGTTTAAAGGTGTAAAGCGGGATAAACTTTAATGAATTCGCGAACCAGCACGATCGGACCATGGGAACGGGGCTTTACGGGGGGTTTTATGGGGTACAAATAGGGTTTTCTCACTTTTGACCCTCAAAACACAAAATTTCCCGATTTCTCTTTAGACCTTTTTAAAGAGTTTAAAAAAACAAATAGTTTAGTATATAAAAGTATCGTTGTAACGGAGAAAATTAAAAAAATTGTAAATTTAAAATTCCCATGTTATTCTTATAAAGAATATTGTCAAATGTTGTAGTTTGCTTGTTTATGGATATATTTTGATTAAACTTGGCAAATTTATTTATTTTGTACTAAGCTATCAATATTTTACTCAAAAACACACTTTATTAGTTTCCTTGTAGCAGCAAACCTAGGTACTCGTTAAACCTAATGTTATTAAAATATATGTAACTGAAAATCAATTCAGACAAATGGAAATTCGCTTAGTCGGCAGGTTTGCTGCGGCGGGGGTATTTTAGCTCTCATGTGAATTTTTGCTATCAAACACACGTGGTTATATTTAGTCGTCATTGGCACACTCAAACGTTTCCACAAGCATTGAATATGTTTTAAATTTCACAACAGGATAAGAAGTTTAATTGCACTGTTTAAAGTAAATAATAAGGCAGCGTTCATAATAGACTATTTAGATCCTAATAGGTCTATTGATTTGAGAATACCTAGTTATTTAAAATTTCTGATTCATATAGTTGTTTCCATTCCCAATCACATAAGATAAATATTATTTGTTATGACCTAATTTAGATTACGGAAATAAAATCTATAAAATACACCGTGGCCCAAAAAAAATGGATCATATCTACAGCTTAATATACGTGTTACCAAAGGTCGTAGAAAAGTAAACTATGGCTAATTTTAAAGCTGATATCTAGAGTTTCATTCGGTACATTTCAACAGAAATCAGCTGTTCAATTGTTGTAGCCCGTTTGAATTTTTAAAAAATTAAGCTGCAATATAGTAAATGGAGTTGCTGTTGAAAGCACAGTGTATTGAATGGTTTATAAAGATAAAATGTGTGGTGTTATTTCTCTAGGTCTTGGGTTTTGTGAAAGATCAAGGGTGTCTATCGCTCATTCATCTCAATTCAAAGCAATTTCAGATCAATTTAAAGCAAAGATAAGGGAAGCCTTTGGAAAAAAAATCCACAATGTGCAGTCAGAGCTGGAACATTGACTTGACTTTCTTTGACTAAATAGCAGATAACATCTAGAGATTAGGCAGTGAAACAATAGTAGGAAAAACTTATGAAGTCAAGGAAAAAGGTGTATATACAGTAAACTTTTAATCTTTAATAACGTATTTATGTAAGTTTACTTATGAACCATTCTTTTTGGGACACCTGGTACTGTACCTATTTGATGGGAAACGGACTTTCGGCCTGCGCTGCCCCTGACTCGGCCTGGGCTGCCCCTATTATGTGGTGTAAAGGGTAGGTTTCTCGGGAGTAGGTACCTGACCTGAGCTTGCGCTTTACCCACTAAATCCCAGGAATCTCCCGGAAATACCTGTGGGGTGGTGGACAGGGTCGTCGACACAGGAAACAGAGCAAATAGCATTGGAGCCAACCTTCGAGGAAATACATTACTATTGTATTAGAAAACTGCTGTAATCTTTGGCATTAACGACTCAGGAAGTGATGGTGTCTACGGGTGGTGGATATCCGCCCCAAATAAACCTATTTTTGTTTCAAAATTTTAGATTCAAAAATACGCAAATTCTTACTACATAAAATAAATCTTTTATGCTTCTTTTAATACTGTATATGATAGTGGTGTTAGTACTGTATTATGACAAATTTAAATGTAAAATACTTGCAGTCATTTGAACTTGAATTCATTATTTCTTAGGCCGCGAACGCTAAATATGTAACAGATGTTCGTGTACAGTAGTTAAACAATAAAAAATAGTGCATTTCATCACTAGAGGGTATACCTATTTAACAGTACTGTATTACGAAACATTTATATGTAAAATACTTGTAGTAATTTGAACCTTGAATTCTTTATTTCGTTGGCCGCGAACACTAAATATAAAAGTAACAGATGTTTGTGTAAGGTAGTAAAACAATACAAAATAGTGCATTTCATCACTAGAAGGTGTCTATTTAACTTTACTGTATTACGAAACCTTTAAATGCAAAATACTTGTAGTAATTTTAACTTGAATTCTTTATTTCGTTGGCTGCGTACGCTAAATTTTGGCCGTAAAAGTTTAATTTTGATACTTACTTGTTCTGTGTTATTTCACCTAATAACAACAGTACATTTAATTCCATCCAACATAATTTTTGTTGGAAATGCACAATATTGAATTGTGTGTTCCAATTATTAAGTTGCAAATTACATTAATTAATTGTTGAATGAAATGCATAGGGGCATTTAATTCCATCCAACTGAATTTTCTGATTTTGTATATAACAAACTGTAAATTTCTTTTATTGATTGTAAATATCTACATCACTAAAAGCCTTTTTGTAGTAATTGATCATTTAAACACCGTTGTTACAAGTTTAATTTTAATATTTTGTTGTACCAATACACCAGACTGTTAATTAATATATAGGATTATATTTTAAACGCATTTCTATAACATACTTGTCTCTTGTTACATTGGTTTAGTTTTTAATTTCGTATTTTATACTTAGTGTTTATCTGGTTTTTACATAGCAAATTGTTATTTACTTTCACTTGGTATTTGCTTGTAAATAGGACACTACCAGAAGTTTTTTTAGGTAAACATTATTTTAAACACTGCATTTTTTTGTTTACCTTACACCAGACTGTAATTTAATTAAAGTAGGCCTATCTTTATTTTTATACTACGTCTCTTGTTTAAATTATCTGAATGAATGTACTACGAATGTACATTCAGCTGTTAAACTACAATTCACACTTTAAACTGAAACAAGAGGTTCTACCCGTGAATTCACGGGTGAACAGAAACCACCATTAAATTAATTTAATCAACTTTGACTTTATATTTCATTTAAAGGGCCCAAGTTCGAGAAATTTTCATGTGAAAGGATGTTAAAGGCAGTGGAACCTTCATACCTTACGTCCTAAGGTTGGCCGAGGTTGTACCTGAACACGCAGCTCTCTTTCACGACATCTTTAATACTTTTCAATGAAATTGCGATCTGTTAAAGATCGGTGACAACCTCTTGGAACGAACAACATACATGGTTTGTTAATCTCATAGTCATCATGGTTCGAACACCTTTAGTTACTCACTTGTAACAAACTAGCTATAAATAGCTTCACTGTCCATTCACCGCGACTCTTTTAAGAACGTAAAAGTAAATAATAAAATAAGTAAACAAAAATGTAAACAAACAAACTATATTGTCGATTGCATTGGCCAGCTGTTGTTCACTAAATTAATCAAATAATAACTTCCAAAACATGCAAGGCGTAGCCTTTTGAAAATCAGCCTGTGGGGCAGAGCCCTTAGGGAGTTCGTCCATATCAATACTTTTCGGCAAAATCTACACACTCTAAGCTTCATTTTGATATGCCTTATGCCTATATTTTTATTTGGTAAATGGCCTTAACCGTTTACATAAAATTTGATTGTATCACTGTAATAATATAATATACTGTTGTATGGATAATATTTTTGTACTATTGAGTGGATGGATTCTTATGTAAACAAGCCTGGAAATCATATTAAGTGTGACTAATTCGTCAACGTTTGTGATTTATGAAAGCTATAGTGACAATAGGCGGATGGTGGCCCCACCTTCTGCAGTAGCCTATCTATAAAAGGTATAATGTATATACAAAACTATAATATCTATAACTAATATTATGATGGTCAATTTATACATATCCACTGTTTTTGTATCTTGAACTGAGGTGACACATATGTCGTCAAATCGTCGTTAAAATTGGTTAAAAACTGTTTGAATATACAATTTTTAGCACGGTGTTTGTAACTAAACTAGCCCAAACTTTGATTTAAATCCATCTAATACCTGCTCTGGAGTGCTCTGGGGCTCAGGTCATTCTTGGAAGTACGTAATCCTATTCATAGTTTTTGGCCAGCTTGCTGTGTCAAACACCCCATATCACCCCTTCCCTACTTCCCTCTTACCCACAAAATCTTTTCAATTTACCTATAGGGAATCTTTTGGGGACAGCAGACTCAGAGCTACCCACGTTCCCTATTGTTTGTTGCGGAGGGTAAGTTTCTCATAATCACCCCAGGCCGAAAGTCCTACACTCCTATTTGATCAGTGGTAGTTTCCAAAAGGCGTGTAATACCAATTCCTCTGTATTATTTGATCAGTTGTGCTGTAGTCATCATTTGACTTATTCCTTTGTTCTGTGTTCACTGTTGAGGTCGTATCTTGGCTTTATTTTGAACATACGCTATGCTCATTTGTTTAAATATACGTCATTATTTTGTAACCATTATGACAACCCATAAGGCAAATGTTAAAATAAAAAAAAACTTTAGGTTACAGTACTTTAAAATTGTATGGGCATAATCAAAAATTGAAATTATTTTGTCTCAAACCTCCCAAACATTTGTCAAAATAACCTTGGTAGCTTTGGCTAAAATATGTTCAGCCATTATTGAGTGGTGTTAGAATGTTTCCACTGAAGCCGACACCAAAGAGCTTAGCTTCGCTCCGCTCAATGAATGTTTTTCTTCTTTCTTTTTAGTATGGTTGGAGTAAGATGAAAATGAAAGTCATAGTTAGTTATAGTAAGTGATAATACAGCGGAAGTTGAGTGTGTGCGTGAGGAAGTTCTAATCTCTAGTCCGAGTCTCTACTATCACGTTATGACTGAGGACGTTAGGTTACGCTACAAGATTTTTGAGGCGTAGCACATTCTTCATTTTTCCATAGGTTTTTAAGATCAAGTGCAACTCTATTCGTGTCTGGCCTAGAAAATGTTGAGAGATAATCAGCTAAACTAAAGTATGTTTCTATCGTAAAATCTTGTTGAAGTCTTCTCTTTGTATCGTGGTTAAAATCCCTCCGCAGAAACTCCAAAATCCATGACCAATCCAAAATCCAAGGGTTGTTCAACATCCGTTTCGTTTTATCCACTTACCTAACGTTTGTAGAATCTTAAAGGATTATTCTCTGATTATGTCAAGATTCATTGTGTATTGTGAGACACTAACAATATCCATGGTGTTTCAAACCTTGGTGGAAACCCCATGAAATTTTAGAGAATTTTAGGAAATTTAGAGTGTTTTTTTGTAAAATAATAAAAGCTTAGGATGAAATAAGCCAATTTTTCAAATGTAATAAAATATATCCAAAAACAAGTAAACTACAACAGTTAACTTATTCTGCATAAGAATAACTTGAGAGTTTTAGATTAGGGATGTTTTAAATTTTTTTCGTATAAATTAAATTATTTGAATCAATTATCAATTTAAATAATTTGAAATTCAAACCGTACAAAAATACTTTCGAAAACTGTGTAAAGAGAAATTGGGGAATCCTAAGTTTTGAGGCTCAAAAATATGGAAACCCAAATTTACCCTATAAAACCACCATAATTCTCCGTCCCCATGGTCAGATCATTCTTGTTCACGAACTCGTTCGAATAAATTTTGATTTACACATTTATACAAAACTAGCCACTAGACCCATGCCTTTCAACGGGGTCAGTATGCAAAAGATACAATGTTGGTTCTTTGAAAATGCCTTAAAATGGTTTCACACGACATACAGTTCAATTTTGTTTCTTAATTAAATTGTGGGTTTAATTAAAATTATAATACAGTAGTACGTTTTTGTTAACTCAGACTGTGAACACCTATTTAGGCTACCTGGGATCCAAAATCAATGATAGATTTTAAGGTATTTCATCAATGAACAGATAGATGCATTGTCCTTCCAGACCTGGAGGTTCCGTGCTCGAAATCACCATTAGATTAGCGAACCCATTACTGCCGCTTCAGTGAGTGCTCGAAATCAGTGCACCGCATCCTGTGTGTGATGTAATACAGTAGTATGACAAAAAATAATGTCAATAATGTGTTGCAGGCATTGGAGGCATCCTGGTGATGGGTCTGGGCATTATCATGTCAGGAGTATTCATCCTTAGAGTCAAGCCCAATGCAAGGTTTGTGGCCGCTTGGATTGCCTTTACTGCCGTTGTCTACGCAATAGGTAACTACCATGTTGAGCTTTTTGTGAGAAAGAAGTAGAATGGCACACCTTAGTGTCTAGGAGGAAAAGGCTATAGTCCGTTCACAAAATTAAGGCGATTTGAGGGGAAGTTCCCCCGATCCCCCACCACTTTTTTCTGATTAAGAGTCTTCATCAGTGGTAGCCATATTGCATTTTAGTCCCATAAGAGCAATGTTAACTTTTTGTAATAGAGTTTCTACTGTTGTGATAAAATAATGATTGAGGTGTTAAAATTAAGGATTAGTGGTTCTCTAGGGAGTCAAGATTTTAGTTTTACCATTTCCTCTCCACTTTAATTTAATGATCATTAATTAAGCCTTTAATTAAATAATTTAATTTATTAAGAAAAGGCCCTTAAAGAAACCTTATAAAGAAATTTATTTTCTTAATCCCTAGTACTCTGTTACAAACCTAATTAAAAATTTTCAAAACTATAACTTTATAAATAACACCGGCATGCTGAAACGATGGTAGGTACAGTATGTTCTGTTAAATTTAACATTGCTCTTATGGTACTAAAATCCAATATGGCCACCACTGATGAGGATGCTTAATACCTAAGCTGCTATTTGACATTTTGACAAAAATCTCATCTGTTGAGAATGATCTCATCTGCTATGTTAAAATGATAGGATCAAGATGTGGAAGGGATAGATTTCCACCCTTAAAACCGACTAAATTCTGTGAACGGAGTATACTATAGTGAAGGATGATTGTGGAATGATGATACTACTGATATGATACTGATGATGAAATACTGTTATCCTTAAAGTCATGGTTTTGTTAAAAGTTCAAGTAAAGTAATTTTAGTACTCTTTTTATGTATTTAATTAGCAGTAAGCAATTTTGAATTTAGCTTATGACTCTATTCAAGTTCATGTAATGTGAAACTATAATGAATAAAGAATGTTTTGACTTTGACTTTGACTTTGATATTGCTATTGCCTTAGATTATTTGATTATTTAGGAACAATCAGTTGAATGCCTTGTAATTAGGTACATTAACCTTTCAAACAAACATCCTTAGGTAGTCACTAGAGGCGGGTCAGTTACATAGCTCCTATGGAACACAACTCCATAACCTTGTCTCCCTGCGGCAAAACCATGTCCATGATGATTTATCGTTTTGTGCGATGCAAACTGGCACCGTAACAACACGTATCATTTGCTTAATGGAAAGTAACATCTTTGGCCTTGAAACCGGTTATAGAAAACCCCTTGAACACTGTGATTAGCAATTTGTGCTTTAGTACATATAATCACACAGGCCAATTCCAGCGGCCATATTAAATAGGTAATGGGTTCTGTGCTATGTAACCTGACAATTATGCTGTCGGGATTGTTGTTTTGTATATTGCCTGTATGATGTAGCAGGCAGCGTTATCGACAGTTGCTGATTTGAGGTACTCATTACCTCGGTGATCGATGCATGAAGACACTTGTACCAGATGCAAAATATCTTGAACTATGGTGCACTCTATGGTTTGTTCACAATATTTAGGCAGTTTGGGTGGAAGTTCGCCTACCACTTTTTTGTATTTAATGTGTTGCTTTATCAGCAGTTGAACCATTATTTTATAGGCAACGGTCAAGTGGAGGGGATAGATTTCTTCCCCTAAAACTGTCTAACTATTGTGAAAAAAGTACATTTGAGTATAATCAATAAAATCAGCTGGTATTAAATAAACAAGTCTACTAATAGTCCAGTCAAGGAATGAGGTGTAGAGTGCGTGAGCAGGTAACTAAGCGATTCCTTCAGAAACTTGTTCAGGGGGCTTAGGGTGTTAACATACCAAAAGTCCTGACTCCTATAACTTATAAAGGAAATATAAATGATATTCTGGAAATCTTGACAAAATTTCCAGTAATTTGACACTTTAATCATTAAAATTGATCCAAAATTAAGGAGAGGGCGAGGTAACAAAATGTCGAGTTTTGGTGTTTTTTTATTGGAAATAAAAAAAAACCTTAAATCATCCCATTTTTAAACGCTCACCCTCGCTTTAATTTTTGACAAAATTTCATGATTAAAGTGTCAAATTACTGGAAATTTTGTCAAGATTTCCAGAATATCAGTTATATTTCCTTTGGGCGGATAGGATTCGCCCCATTTCGCATACTAATTCACATGTATTTCTTATGGAAGGAGTATTTTAATAAGATATCAATTAAATAAGTTATAACTCGTAATCTGTTGAACCAAAATAAACACATTATATACTTTTCTTGTAGAAAATTTAATCTTCTTCAATTTTATAATTTACTATAGTATACAAAAAGTTGATAGTTTTTGAGATATAATCAACAAACCCAAAATGCGTACCTTTCCCCCTCCTTTTTCCCCCCTCCACCCCCTGGCTCACCACCTAGGAGTCAGGACTTTTGGTATGTTAACACCCTAAGCCCCCTGAACAAGTTTCTGAAGGAATCGCTTAGTTACCTGCTCACGCACTCTACACCTACTTTTGGATCATTCATTGACTGGACTATAACTTATTTCATAGTCACCGTTCCAACTGTTTTGACTGTAAATTATGTTTTCTGTAGTTGATATCGAGGATTCAATGTACAGCATATGTTCGTCCTATGTAAAAACAGTCAAAGGTAAAACTAAGGAATTAAGTTTTAGAGGTTTTCAGACATGGAATTTCAGCAATTCTGAATTTTCAGGAATGGGGATCCTGATGACTATTGGATGTCCAATGGATGACTTTGCGGGTCTGAAAATAGGCGAAGGGTGAGTAAACGAAGACAAGGCACCCACACATTGTTACTGATATTTCTAGACATAAATTTGACTTTCAAAAGAGACTATTTGAGTTGCAAATGATCTAATAGTATGATCCCAACCAGTGTGTCTATTAGTGAAATGCGAGATGTTACAGAAACTACGTACGATGTAAATCCTTCTTGTAGTTGAATGTTACAAAACATATACCCCGATTCCTGTTTCAATATTTAGGCCAAGATAAGTAATTATTTACAATTTAACTGACAATCTCATACTTGAAACAATTTCTTGTAAACAAGATAGTATTTATGCCACATCATCTTGTCTATTACAAAAATGTAAACAATGTTCGTTAAAAGCTGACCTGCAAAATACCACTTCAAAAATACAGTATAAATGTAAGCTTTGCTTATGGTTATTGAGACATCCTTTTCATAGATTAATTGATTTTTTTTATCTTGTTCAAGATGTCCAATACAGTACTTTGATAACATTAGCAGTAGTTTGTTATCAAAATAACATTTCAAGAACATTACTATATTTAAAACATATTTTTACTTCTTTATATGTGAATTAATAAATTTCCCAAGGTTCCCATTTTTTACCTCCAAAACATTAAATTTTGCAATTTCTCTCTAAACTATCTTGTTCATTACAAACAAATAATTTAGGAGCCTAACGTAGAGCATGGATAATTTTACGTCAAAAATCTGGACCTTCATTAATCCGTGTTTGTCACTACAAAGAAATACAATTTTGTGCTGTCTTTTAAAACGTATCAAGGACTTTGAAAAAAAATCTATAAAATAATTTAAACGTTTTTTGCCTCTGAACAAGATTGTACCCCCATTGCTGTAAAAATAACGGTTCAAAAGTTATTGCAACTGTAGTAATTTTCCCCATAAAAATTAAAGAAAAAAGAACGGATAAAAAATCATTTGACCAACTTTATTAAAACCGTGTATGTTGTAGTCCTTCCAACTCTAAATGGTACAACCTTTATTGCTGTACAAATTATTGTTTATAGTACGGCGGATTAGCTAACCTATTGTGCACTTTATGATAAAAGCACCAAATTTGGCACAGAGGTAAACAGATGTAATATGATCAAATTTAGATGTGGAGCCATCGGCCAACTGCCCCCTAGCGGCCGTGGCGGCCATTTTTCAAAATGAAACAACATTTTTTACAATAAAATCTTTGAATGATGAAATTAGGACTTATTCCATGTTAAAGAGCTTAAAAAAAAACAATTTAGTTTTTTGGATCATCAGCGTAGGTTAGATGGTTGTGGAGAAAATGTTAAAAAATTACCTTAAAATTCCTCATGCTATTCTTATGGATACGTTGTCCTATGTTATTCTTATGGAGAATATATAAAATTACATATAAAGCTTATTTATGAATATATTTCGATGAAACTTGGTATTTGGCTTTATGTGGTTATAGTAAATAGATATTTGTTTAAAATACCCCAGTTGCAGCAAACCTGCATACTCAGCACAATGTGAAACCTGGCAATATATTAGCTACAGTAGTAAAATGAATATATTTTAAGTTAGTGATTTTATTACTTTCTTGATAAAAATCGGTTAGACATTCACTGAGTACGTAGGTGTTCGGTTACAGGGGTACTTTTCGACGTTTTTGCTTTTTGTTCCTGACTTTTGTATCTGTTATAAAAACGTCGTATCCGAGAAGTCAACGGTTTCCTTGGTCACAAGATGAGGGTTAAAATAAATGGACGGTGGCAGGACCAGAGGTTGCAAGACTCATTGAAGAGTAAGTAATCTAACCAAGACCAGTCACAAAACATAAAGCATCACAACCAGTCCTCAAGTGTACAGACATCTTTCCAAAAAGACGTCCAGTCCATGATAAAAGTGATGAAAGACTTTGGGAATCCATTTAAAGAAAATAGTCAAGATCTGTTGGTACTCAACACCAAGGAAATCACACTACCTCAAGCTGTAGCTGACATGAACCTCTTCTCTCGTCTGTACATCGGATGCCAGAACCGAGATGGGAATCTAGACGAATTCTTCAGACATGAAAACCAAGCTTTCCCTCCTGCACTACCGGATAGGGTTAGCATCCGGTTTGGTGTGAAGAGTGATCTTCTCGCATGTCTAGAAGACTTCAGTCCGCCTAGGTCTGAGATTCCTTCATCAAACTGCATTGTCCTAGACGGATCAGTCATAATCCAACTACTGAAGCCTGCTATGGCAAAGACCTTCAATGATTATGCCCAATAAGTATTTGTGCCTCACATACTCTCAAAGCTTCATCGCGTTAAACGAGGGCAGCACTTTCGAAGAGCAGTAAACCAAGGCGGACATGTCTGGGGTCAGGCCCTGGTTCCTGCGCAAACACCGCCATCACCAATTGTTTTTCTTCAAAAACATTTTCCGACGCCCCTTGTTGATATCGTTGTCCGTGTCTATTCTGTCATATAGTGGTATGACAAACCTTTCAATGGAGTGCATGGCGTCTTCAGTTACACGTTCTGGTGCAGTTGAGAGCAACGTGAGCGTCTGGAAGCTCAGGTAGCCCTTCCACACTGCCCATGCTGTCCTCCTTCCACGTCCGGCGAAGCAAGAGACCGTTTCATAGCCCATCAACGCATAGAACATCGGTAGAGCATCTGCCTTGTCAGGACCCAGAGCCCAAGCAGTCTCATGGGCCGCAAAGAAGCGGAAAGTCTTAACCCAGCCGAAGGACACCCACACATCAACTTCCGTATTCAAGGTACTTGCCAGCGCCACTGCCAGGACAACAACATCGGTGTCAACTGTGCAGATGAGCATCGTCTAGTGGCCATTGTGAGCAGCGTGAGCGGCATGCAACACAATGTGGGTGTCGGCCTCCTCGTAGTTGCAAGGAGCCAGTGATGAAGTATCCACAAGCGATGACTTTCTCAAGACATCATCTCCTTTAGTGATGAACAGCTCCTTGTGTGCAAGATGTAATGAGTCGTAGAGGACGTCAGAGAGGAAAGCGAACTGTTCTGTCTTGTTTTCTTCAACTCTGAGGAAGCTGGCCCAGTTGTTGGGTTTAGTTGAACCACCCACCACTCGTCTACCCCATTTCCCCGCCTGGCTCTTGCTGTACATTTCAACAAGTTGTTAATGTAGCTGTTTCACACTAGATCCAGTCGCGTGGTGTGATGAAGCTTTGAGAGTATGTGAGGCACAAATACTTATTGGGCATAATCGTTGAAGGTCTTTGTCGTAGCAGGCTTCAGCAGTTGGATTATGACTGCTCCGTCTAGGACAATGCAGCTTGATGAAGGAATCTCAGACCTAGGCGGACTGAAGTCTTCTAGACATGCGAGAAGATCACTCTTCACACCAAACCGGATGCTAACCCTATCCGGTAGTGCAGGAGGGAAAGCTTGGTTTTCATGTCTGAAGAATTCGTCTAGATTCCCATCCCGGTTCTGGCATCCAATGTACAGACGAGAGAAGATTGTGATGCTTTGTGTTTTGTGACTGGTCTTGGTTAGATTACTTAAACTCTTCAATGAGCCTTGCAACCTCTGGTCCTGTCACCATCCATTTATTTTAACCCTCATCTTGTGACCAAGGAAACCGTTGACTCCTCGGATACGACGTTTTTATAACAGATACAAAAGTCAGGAACAAAAAGCTAAAACGTCGAAAAGTACCCCTGTAACCGAACACCTACGTACTCAGTGAATGTCTAACCGATTTTTATCAAGAAAGTAATAAAATCACTAACTTAAAATATATTCATTTTACTACTGTAGCTAATATATTGCCAGGTTTCACATTGTGCTGAGTATGCAGGTTTGCTGCAACTGGGGTATTTTAAACAAATATCTATTTACTATAATCACATAAAGCCAAATGCCAAGTTTCATCAAAATATATTCATAAATAAGATTCATATGTTATTTTATATATTCTCCATAAGAATAACATAGGACAACGTATCCATAAGAATAGCATAAGGAATTTTAAGGTAATTTTTTTACATTTTCTCCACAACCATCTAACCTACGCTGATGATCCAAAAAACTAAAGTGTTTGTTTTTTAAGCTCTTTAACATGGAATAAGTCCGAATTTCATCATTCAAAGATTTTATTGTAAAAATGCAAAAACCCAATTTTTGAAAAATGTCAACTCCCATAAAACTTGTGGTGCTATCGCATCCAATGGTCGATCATTCTGATTTTTTAGTTCAAGCTCACTGATGCTATCCTACACGTTTGTGCCAAATTTCATCAAAATCGGACGTTTTTTTGACAATTTTATCTTACTTCTATTGTATTTTGTCTATACAGTAGCGGCCATTTTGAAAAATGGCCGCCACGGCCGCTAGGGGGCAGTTGGCCGATGGCTCCACATCTAAATTTGATCATATTACATCGGTTTACACCTGTGCCAAATTTGGTGCTTTTATCATAAAGTGCACAATAGTTTATAATATCCTAGCTAAACCGCCGTACTATTACAAGATATCGCAACTTTTGTTATTTTCCCCGTGAATTATCACACCCATGATAAGGGTTGTTTACAAGCTATTGGGAGAAAGTATGTGTCAGATTTCTGATACCGTTTATGTAACATTAGTATAAAAAACTAAAACTTACACTCCCTGATTTACAATATATACTATTTTTATTTTATGGCTTCTATTAGTTACCAAATAGCAAAAAAACCAGTTTTAAAAATCCACATATTCAAAAATTTTTCCCAGCGAGCATAAGATTACGTGGTTTACTGACTTTACTTCTGACAACCCTCCTCAACTAAATCTTGTACTTCAGTTGCCTTCATTATCTTAAAATCTTCAGAATGGAGTGTTGAATACATTGTATGATGATTTTTTAACAGAGTTCAACTGGTTTTGCCCGGAACATTTATTAAAAGCCCAATGATCTGGGATAGTTGGGCCAACTATTCTCTCTTTCTCAGGATCGAACCAGCGACCTTTTTTACTGAGTATTACAACTACTCAGCTACCTAGCTATGTGTTATTGTGGTAGACCTTACGTCTCATAGGTGGCGAGGTAGTAAAATACATTTTACCCATTCACTTAAACCCTTACACGCAACTTATTTGAACCAGAATATTAATTCACTGTTTTCTGTTCAGTTTCAATGCAGCCAAGTTTGAGCCTCCCTGCAAGTTGGATTGTAACTGCAACATGGTGAAGTTTAACCCAGTGTGTGGCTCGGATAGGCTCACCTACTACTCCCCTTGTCATGCAGGCTGTCATAACTATACACTCAGCAAAGACTCGTCTATTGTAGAGCAGGTGGGTGAGAGACAATGACGGATTTGTTTATTTAGCACCTTTCTTATACATGTAAGAGAATAAATGTACTAAATTACCATTATTACTGCCTGTCTTCTTCAGCTAAAAGTGTGTGTATCACCCGTATGTTTTAAAATTTTTGTATGTCCCAACTTTACCTCATAGGGCCCTAGATTCTAGCCTTGAACTGTTTCACGCATTACTTCAGGCTAGTCCCCTCTAGTGTCGGGGAATTATCACATATAGATAAAATCAATACAGTAGACTCTTGATAATTCGAAATTGGTGGTCCAAGCATATAAATTTGAATTATCAAGAGTTTTTAATTATCAAGAGTTCGATTTATTGGGAGAAAAATAAACCATTCGAATTACAGAGAGTTCATTTGTGTAATACATACAAAGGTACAGCACGTTACAATAAAACATCATACCGTATTTTTGTACACTTTTAAACAATCAACGGCTTATTTTTCAGTTACTGTAGTTGCAAAGAAATCTGTTATTTAGCGCTATTTCGCCAATAGCTGAACTATCAGCTGTCGACAACCACGTTTGTGCTCAAGGAGATGTCGCGCAATCTAGAGATCGGATTGACAACTTAGAAAAACAAGTCAGCGAACTAACTCAGACTACTGCTCTAACTAAACAAACAAACATCAAAACGTCCAACACTAGCCTACCATGGGAACAGGATGTAACTGTACTTTATAGTTTCCTTTTATAACAGGAAGAGATCACTTTGAATTATAGAGTGTTTTGCCGACTAAACTTCGAATCACTGCGTGACTTTGATTTATAGAGTGTTTTTTCGACGAAACTTCGAATTACAGCATGACTTCGAATTATAGAGTGTTAACCGACGAAACTTCGAATTATTGAGTTACTTCGAATTATAGAGTGTTTTTCCGACGAAACTTCGAATTACTGCGTGTTACAAATTTACCTACCCTCCATTTGGACTTTGAAATACCGAGTGTATCAAAATGCATGGTAAAAATTTGAAATATTGAGAGATTCTCTAGGGACTGAGCCTTCATTATGAATTATCGAAAGTTTTGAATTATCAAGTGTTTGAATTACCAAGAGTGGACTGTATTGGTGATTAGTGGGATTAGTACCTGGGACATCGGGCTGAGAAGCCCCGAGTTCCACCACTAGACCAGCTCACTCCCATATATCACACCTATTTACTTTTTTCCAGTTTTTGTGACATATGCCGGGGTCTTTAAATGTAAATATTAATTAATGGATCAAACACTCTCCTACCCAGCTCTGTAATTTTCTAATTAATCTGCGTCATTGAAACTAGCAAAACTGGAAACTTAATGACAAACCAGCAATATCACAGAGATCAAAGAATCAGCCCGATCAGGACCAAATCTAGTATTTGGGCGCCCCTAGGCCCTACAACTTATTTCCGCCTATAGTATGGTTAAAATTACTTTCCTAAAAACCTTTATAAAAATTATATCATGCACCACACAACAATGAAATTTTATCAATACAGGTTTTTTTTTTTAGGAATTCACTTTGGTTATGGGCGTAGCGAAAAGTTGCCTTAAAACTAAAACACATATTTAGCATTTTTATTTATCAAATATTGTTTCCTGTTTTGGATACCTAACAAAATTTTACATGAACTATATACAAAAATATTTTCAGTACGAAGGACCAAAAGAGAAGACATAAAAATAGTAGCACAATTTATAAAAGGATTATTCATATTTTCGTTGTATGACTGGTTTAGGGACTTTAGTACCCTAAACCCTTAAGGCTCGTCTACTCTACACAGGACTGGTTTACAAGCTACAATTATGTTTTGTTTCACACAGCTCATAAACTAGCCCAGTGTATTTGCCACCCTCACTCGATAGCTACAATTATACAAGCTCTGGAAAGAGTTGACTCTGCAATTTAATACTCGTCACTCACTGAATTTTCATCGAACTAGATCAACAAACTATCCAAGTGTATTCAAAGCTGCTGGTGCACAAGTGATAAGTAGGACTAGTCTCAATTATCTCAGAAATTGGTTAAAAGCAGAAATTGTATGTCAAACTCATTGACAATCCCGCTTAGTTGCTGGCTAGAAGCTTGTAAATTCGCTCTGTGTAATTGAGACCATTAATTTATCAATGGAGATAATCTTAATAGCCTCAATAATGTAAATAAACTTACTCTTACTCTTAACCTTATCTAAAGTTTAAAATAAAATTGGCTATGGATGTTCCTTAAATAGATAGGATGTGTCCTACACTATCCAATGTCAATGATTTGTGTTACCACTACTATATTATTATCAGTTGTTATTCACACCATTTATACATGTATACAAGTGGGGATCAACTTAAATAATCTCAAGACAAAAGTACTCAGGAAAAATAACAACTCTTCTGTTTAGTTCACAGAATGCTCTTGTATGGGGTCTGATGAACAAGTAACGGAGCGCATTGGTGTGTGTGAGAGTGACTGCAACAACTTCACTCTGTACATCGTCTTATTCTCCGTCTTTGTCTTTGTCCACTCGACTTCCGAAGTTGGCAGCATGCTTCTCATTCTCCGCTGTGTTGATCCCAAAGACAAAGCAATGGCGTTGGGTCTCATTCAGTTTGCTATCGGCCTTTTTGGTAATTTAGCAATTATCATTTATATATTGTTTTTAACTAAACATTTGTTTAGAATAGGCTAGTTAAAAATGTTTGAGAAGAGAGTTTGTAACCTTTTTTTTTATTAATTTTAATAGTTATAGGTTAATTGAACTAAGCCCAGGTTAACTCAGAGAAGGGGGGGGGTTTGGTACTCAAAACTTTTAAAGAGTCACAATGACATAAGGGATCCTCTTCGGGAAGGCGCCACCTTGTTTACTGCAGAACGTCCACCGGCCAACAAGGAAGTCCAATGGCAGTACAGGGTTGAGATTAAAAGGTTTACCCTCGAGGACCACTTAACTTATCATTCAGACCCACTTACTCATTTACTTAGGCCTAGACAATTTAATGTGTTAATATGGCTAATAGTAATTGCATGAGCGTGAGGAGCAAGATTAATTTGTAAGGAAGCGTCTAAAGTTGTTTTTAAACACAGTAGGAAATATTAATATAGTGAAAACACAACAATTAAATTTAAGTTACAATAGTTTAATAAGAAAAGTGAAATTTAAGAGGATTACACATCTGCAGATCTTAAAACAAAATTTAATGATTGTCAAACCTATTATAACAGTATGATAGGAAACAATAACTCAACGCTCAACAATGATGATTTAAAAAAACTTAATATTGGTGGCCACCTTAACTTGAGTCGAATAACTCTAAAATATAAATTAGGTAACTTACGGTTTCATAAAAAAATAAAACATGAATTCAACTAGAGACCTAGGCCTAACATGTCTACGCATGAATTAAAACAAATATCACAATTAAACAGAAAGAAAAGAAATACAAGTTAAAATATCAGTTATCGTTAAGGGATCAAATTGTCCGAAGAAAGAGAAATACAGAATAATGATTTATGATAGGTAACTTATTGATTGTCTACTTAGCGGTAAGGCGTATCAGGTCCTTCACAAAACTGTAAATGACGAGACGAACAGAATTCCATTTTGGTTTGACTAGTAGGCTTAGTAGGTAGGCCTAGTCATCGGACGGTGAGCATGTCTCATCCAGCAGGTACGGACATCTCCCGAGCCAGCATTCCCCGTACATATCCCTAGAAAAGGGCCTCATGAATAGTAACATTATTATAACACAACGGTATAGCAGTCTCACACACTGTCTTTGGTAAGTTAATATTTCACATCAGTCGATGACTGTCCATGTAACAATTATTAAATTCATTAATAGCTTTAAAATAACACAGCAAAAGTTCAGTCTTTTGAAATCACAAGCTATAAGGCACTAGAGTTTTGAACAATACTGTCTGTCTGAATGGCCTAAACTAACCTATCAAACTTGTTCTCAAGTCTTTGGTCCATAGTACATAATTATGCATAGCACCACACAATACATTACATACATTAAATAAGATTCGTTAACAAATTAAATCCTAACATTCGACAATATTATACTTACAACATGGACCCAGCTCGTATAACCTAGAAACTAAACATTTTACACATAGTCTATTTAAACACTTTGAAAGATAACACAGAATAATCCATAGGCCCTACATTTTAACAATTTCAGTGACTTTGTAGGCTACTTTGCCAAATTTAAGACAACTGAACTTAGGCCTAGCACAAGTTAAAGTCAAAAGGTTCGTTAAGCATCTTTAGCCTAGGCTTTAAGGCAAAATTACAAAATAGGCTAGTAACAGAATCAAATCTCAGAGTGAACGGGAAAGCCGTACTATCAGAACACATTTAAAAACAGACATTACCAAATTTAAGAATAGACTTTAATAACAAACAAATCGAGAACAAATTTAAATTTACTAACCTAAAGAGCTGGACCCAAAATGAGTCTGAATGATTCAGGTGGATTTTCGTAAGACAATGTGGGACATAGTATTAGCATACCCATCTCAAGAAAACACTAAATAACAAAATGTTACTACATAATCCCCCAAAATATGTATTAGAAAGAAACCTTACCTCGAGGGTGATTTGATTTAAGTAAATTTAGTTGACACTTTAGTTGAAAACATCTTGAATTACAAAAAAATCAACTTCTCATTTTTTTTGTCTTCGTCACAAAATCATGGCTAGAGGAGAAGAGGGAGGAAGCGTCGGTTTCAGTCCACAAATCCATCGAGTTTCATTATTGAGTCCAACCACCAATCAGAGGTCTACAACTTTATCGATTGAGTGAAGATGGGATGTAGCAACCGTTGGAGCGAAGAGTATGAAGTGGTAGAGGCGTACTATATAAAATATTTTACAGTGACGAAATGAAATTCAGAATGCGGTCAGGCAGTCGATGCGCGCTTAAAGACTGAGATGAAATATTTAGCGGGTGATCAGTCCGCTAGTCTGTATGTAGGCGTTGCTGAATTTCAGAGCGTTACAAGTTCAGTTATACTATGTAAAAAACTCAAGGAGTGTAATGAATAGTCTTATAGTTCGGCCGCTTAGAAAACGACCTGCGCGCTAATGCTAAACCAATGCTGGAGGAGGTCGCTTTCTAAGTGGCCGAACTATAGTTAGGTATTTGATTTAATTTTTTACATTTTATTTGTAAAACAATTACATCTCTTCTTAAAACTGATTTGAAGGAAGAGCCTCATAGAGCAAGAGCAATAATGTCCCAGCTACCTAAAAATCAGACATCAACCTTGATGAACCAGTTTTAGTTACAACAACCCGCAAAATATTAAAATCTACTAATTCCTCCACTTATAATAATCCTTTTAAAGGTTTTGATCAAGAAGTTTTTCACAGGTAACGTGCCTTGCCCTATCATCTACGGAGCGTTGGTGGACTCTGCTTGTTTACTGTGGGACACAGTGTGTGGCAAACAAGGTGCTTGTAGACTCTACGACACAAAGATGTTCCGGTTGTTCTTTCATGGTAAGTAGAAATTGGACATGAACCCACTGTGAAAAGAGACAAACGTTTTACAAGTACTTGGTAAAATAAACGTGTTTGGACAGACTTAACAATTTATCTGTATTACAATCCCTCAGATAATAATATTAATATTGATGTCCAACATTGCAGTGTTGTCACACTTTTTGGCTGTTCAACAAACCTAAACTGTATTAGAGATTTCTTATGTCTTGGATCGTAAGTACTGAATTTTACTTTCAAAATTTCTCTACTAGGAAAACACTTGACCCTTGTGAAATAAGTTGGTGCAGAACAAGCTGTAGGCACACCTTCGTACAAATGTGATTTTATTTATTTCCCAGTGGCAAGAACTAGAAAATTGAATTATTTGTTACCTCATTTAGTAACCTTTCTTCTTGCAGGTTAGTGGTTTCCTCCAATATTTTGCCACGGTGTGTGGCACCCTCAGGTAGAAGAAAAGTTATATGACATGATTGTACACTATATACACATGGAACAACGACATTGAGTTCATTTCAACGCAAACGCGTGGCGGACACTTGTAGGAATTTGAGAACAAAGACAGAGTGAGTACGAATTCATATAAGTGTTCGCCGCACGTTTGTGCCCGATGCTACGATAAGAACTCAACACCGTTGTGCCATGTGTACATACATACTTTATACATACAGTGTGTACAATCCATCGAAGTATATAACACAACTGGAACACCGGGTAGATAGGAGATGTGGGATAAAAAGCGCGCCTTTTTGGCAACCTTCCCCCACCACTATGTGGGACCCAACCAGGGCCGTCCGACGGAGGGGGGGGGGGGGCAACAGGGGCAAGCTGCCCCGGGAGCCGTGTCTGAGGGGGCACCGTGCAATAAAAATATGCGAATACAACTACTGGGGGGGAGGGGGCGCCACGACCACGCTTGCTCTGGGCGCTGCCAACCTAGGGACGACCCTGGGCCCAACACAGATATGTCAGTTCCTAAAGCCGTGCACACGGTTGTTAATATGCTCCTGGCCGTCCATACAGTACGTTGACTGCAATTAAAGTTATATATTCGGAACCTGCATTAAATGCAGAATCTGACAGTATAAATATAATCTTATTTAAATTGTAATTGGATTTTTAACAACTGAAAATATTAAACAAATATCACACCTTCACATGAAAAAGTTACTAAGCGAGGATTTTTGTTTGTTTGTCATAAGCAAACTTCAAGCGACAAACTTCGTTGTAGCTAACGAGATGATCTTCAGCATATAACCAAGCAATTTCAAATAAAATTTGTTAGTCGTGTGTAATGGAGTAATTAGCGCAAGGAGGTTCTTTATAAGTTGCGCCGCCGGCCGTCCTCCCTAGTTCCTCTGGTCTTTTCGAATTGTTAGTAGTGTTCTTTTGACAATAGGAGTATTTGTATAATGTTGCAAAGACACGATTAGTAAAAAAGTGTTTTGAGTGCCATTGTTATTCTGTATATGTTTAAAAATTCGTATTATCACACAAGAGAAAAGGGTTTGGTTAATAAAACCAAACAGTACTTCTAATAATATGTTTTACTGTCCACAATCGTGCTTGAATATAGTACAAGGAGTAAGGTGTTGATGAATGCATTCACCTTGTTGTGAAAGAAAAACTATCATGATTTCTATAAGAAAAAAACATTTATTTACTGGTCAACCAATCAATATTTACTATACAGTGTAAGGGGACTGTCTGCAAGTGGTAGTGTTCACCTATTTCTTAATAGTATAAATTTATTTGAAATATTTAAATGTTGAAACAAACATTTATAGTTTTATGTGTTACCTCGCTTTCACAATCAACAATGTACAAGATAAACTCCATAGAGATAAAACGCTGAAGGTTAAAGTAAAGGAATTATCGTCATTGAATTTAATAGTATGAAAAGAAGGCAATATCCTCCTGATACAATACGTCACCCCGCCACAGCAAACCTGCAGACTAAGCGTATATCCATTTCCCTGTCTGGATTTCGACCAAAATATTTCCATAAAATTGTCAGATTAATTTCCTATTTAAATAACATTAATTTTAATGAGTACTTTAATGAGTGAGCTTGATGTTCTCCTATGATATTTGATGTATATTCCTCTAGTCTTTTTTGTAAAATCTTTGATAGTACTTTGTAGGTGCAGTTGAGGAGGGAAATGCCTCTGTAATTGGTGAAGTCCTTTTTGTCTCCTTTCTTGTGAATAGGAATGATGACTGCTTCCTTCCACTCATTTGGAATCAATTCGTTGTCCCAAATATCAAGGATCAGTTTTTGGATCTCCCTTGCCAGCTCTGTGCCTCCTGCTTTGATTACTTCCGATGGAATTGAGTCCTCCCCTGGGGCTTTATTGTTATTTAATTCCTTGATTGACGTTTCTACTTCTTAAATTGTTGGGTATGGTACCATTGGATCTACATTCTGGTACACTTCCTCCTATTCTTCTTCTTGTTCAGACTGTCTTACATTCAAAAGATCTTTGAACTGTTCCTGCCATACTTGTATTCCTTCCTTGCTCTGTACCACCAGTTGTTCTTATTTGTTTTTAATCCCATATGGCATTGGACTGTATCCCTTTCTAAAAAAAACTTATTGATCGGTAGAAGTCTCTATTGTTGTTTGCTGTCCTGTCCTGTTCAGCTTTCTCTAAGATTTCTTTTGTTGCTAACGGACACACATATTTATATACACTAGAGGTCCAGTGGTCGAAAACTCAACCAAAAATATGTAATGTACAGACTTCTCAATTTTCACCCCACACTGTAAATAAAAGATGTGATTGAAATTTCTTCCATTGGTTTTGATTTTCTGTTCATGTTTTGTTGTTATTTTGCCACCAGCATGGCAACCCATAAGGCACATGTTAAATAAATTAAATTCATTTGTTGTGCTTATTTGTGAGCCTATTTTAATTTATAAAGGGATTCCGCACACCTTCAGGAAAATATCTTTCTAACATTATCCATAGATTTTCCCTACGATGCACACGAGCTGAGAAAAAAGGTTTTAAAGAAACATGCTTGCTATTAACTTATAGATAAATAAATTTAAATGAATTGTGTTTTACCTCTGGGTTCTTTAAAAAAATAACAAATCGGTCCCTGATCCAGTTCTTACCATGAGACCAATGGTAATAGCTTATTCCCTTTATGGGTAATTTGCTAAAAGCCATTTAATTATATTGTGTGCTTCCAGAAAACAATTAATTGAGAATATTTTTCACGCAGGTACAACTGGGGCTCTAATGTTGTGTGCGTTCTTTGTCGACATCATCGTCTGGTACAAAGCTGGCAGCATCAACTTCGTAGACGAGCAGACGACTGCTCAGGATGAAGAACTCAACCCTATGACGGGGAAGTCAAGATCGGAAACGAGCGTTTGATTAGTAAGTTTTAATTGATCATTCTATTTTTTCATACAGCAACAGTTTACTTGTTAATATAATTATTTAAAGCTGAATATGAGCGCAGAGTGAGTGAAAGAATAATGAATTTTGAATCACCTTCTGATTCTTAGGCAAGCAGTGTAATTGTAAACAATATTTTGTTAATACTTTTAATACTTTTCATTGAAATGACCACCATCCATGTTCTACGAACCTCTCTCTGTGAATGGTCCAGTATTGTGTAATATCATTTACTATCTCGGTGTGGCGTTACTTTACATCAGTGCATGAAAGCAAACCCTTTTCTCTGTACCGTATACTTGGAATAAAGAGGCACCTGGCATTATCCAACCGCAGGAAATTGTTTTGGCACACAGCATACCTCACAGTTTGTAAACTTCTCACACCTGCATCTCTCTGCCATCCTTCACGCTATGAGGGAAATTTAAACAGAGACCTGGGGCTCAGTATACTGACGTGTAACACTTTATCTCAACTTATATCATACCTACTTACTGTTCATAATTTTTCTACGTTTTTATGATAATGGTTCAGAAGTAAAACCACCACCTCGTTCAATTTAAGACAAACTTAAACCCATGAATAGGTTTTGACAATGGAGAAGCAGACGGCTCAGGATGAAGAACTCAAATCTATGACGTAAAAGACAAAATCGTAAACAAGCAAATGTAGAAATCATCAATTTAATGACTTAGAAATTATTGCAATATTTGGTGTTATTGCAATGACCCTGACACAGCAGCTTTAAGTAGACTAATAATTTAGAATCTACTGTCTAGGCTTCCTAAGGGTTGTATATATTTTTTTTTGTTATTCAAGGTTCAAGTTCAATTCTTTAAGTTCAAGTTCAAGGTTCAAGGCTATTAGATGGCTCAATATAATATTCTTACACTATGTTGTAAATATGAATCGATCATTTGATCAGTATTTATTCAATATAATCTGCATTGTTGTGATCAATAGCCTATTTTAAAATTAATCATGTAGTCAACGAGATAGCTGAACACCAATAGCATACCTACTTGTGTATCTTTTAGGTGGAGGAAAAACAAAACACTGGCATGTAAACTCAAATGGAAAGTGGACAAAGGGTCTTATGATCTTTGAAGGGGAAAGCACAGGGGGAGGCAGATTTTGACTTTCGGGGCAGTCGGGTAGTAAATGGTGGTCGAGGGATTAGGACCCTTGTACATTTCTTCGACCATCGGCGCAATCGGGCGTCAGCCCTAGTCACTAGTATCTCGGTCGGGTTGAGCAAATAATGGATGGACAGAAAGCATGTTGGCGTGAGTTCATTTCTTGAACTTTGGGTGTTGGAATTTGGGGTGTTAAACAGCTAGGGCTTTCCAATTTGTTTGTTTCTATGTTTAACAACCTAAAAGTCTGACTTTTATGTTTTCAAATATCTACTTCTGATGCCTTACTTGTTTCTTCCAGAAGCATCAAGTCCCTAGGGACATCAGTTACCAAGTTCAGGGAGAGTGCCATGCTACCTCACAACCCTAGGGCATCATAGTTCCTCCCTCACTACCCACCATTACTCTGCAGCCCCATTCCCCTTATGAGGGTTCAAGGGTCATCTCAACCTTCAACCTTCAGGAGTCTCCAGTCATCAGTGAACTGCGGACTTTAATCTTTTAACAAAGGCTTTAAGGAAAACTTGTAAAGTTTACATTATAAGTTGATTAATTCAAAATGAATTGAGGAATAGTTTCTTGAGGAGCTAGGCTTTTTTTGTATTTGATGTATATTTTATTTTTATACCTTTTTTGCAAAAGATTATTCACTAAGTTTTAAAAACTAGTGTTGATACATTTTAATGATAAAGAATTTAATTTCTTTAATTTTTAATGATAGATTTTTAGCAATGAGTGTTTAAAATTATCAAACATGATATATTTTATCTTATTAAATTAGATTTCAAGATGTTAGTGGAAAGTTGTTTGAAATACTTTATGGAAGAACAGTTTTCTGTTTTAGCCAAGTGTGCTTTTATTTTAAGCATTTACCTCATTGTGTTTTACCAGTTTGACAGTTAATTTTTCTAAAATAAACTGTAACAATTAATTCTAAACGATAAACTAAGGTAATGAAAGGACTTGATATTAGTTTTTTAGGTTATAGCCATTTTATAAATGTATCAAAACCGCCCAATTTGGGACTTATATAGCTGTATTTAACTATAAACACACCACTTTATATACAAGGTTAAAATCATTAACAAGGGTGGTTATTACCAAAATACAATTAAAATTATTAAAAACCTGAAAAATTTATTCTTTCCAAAAGGATTGCCTCTGCACATCAGTAGGTGGATTTGTCATACTGCAGCAAAAACAGCTGTTTTCCAATACAGGCATTGGGGGTCTAAACTACGGTAGCTCTTTTTCTCCCTAGGAGAAAAACTCTTCTTGAGTCATTTGCAGTACATTTTGCTCACTTGTTACCTTTGTATCAAAAGTATCAGTTGTAATTCTGGATTCCAATAGATTGTGGTTCATTATGTTTTATTGTCGACTAAAACTGTTTACATTGAATCTAAGAATGGATGACTCGAGAAAACAGTTTATTTCTCTGAAATCCCAAGAAATTCAAGAAAAATATTGATACATCAATAGTTTGACATATTGATATCTATTGATAGTATAATGGATACAAACACAATCACAATATACAAAAGGATACAATACCTTACTAAACAGCAGCTTGTTAACAATAGCAAAATTGAAAACAAGATACAAGTCATATTGGGAGCATATCTTTATATATAAATTATTTTGTTTTTGTAAATTAGTTTGCTTAAATAATGATGCAATATGACGTAAAATATAGTTCACCTCACAAACTAAAAGTGTCTTTTCAACCATCTTTCATTTTCCGAGGGTTAAACTTGTGCTTGTGTTGAAAAGAGTCACTTAGCATCATAGTGATGAAACGTACTAAATAAACTATGAATAAATAGGCCTATACAATTTTACTCTTTTATGATATTATTGTTGCCTGAGAAAATTGCTTAAAAACCCCTATTATCATGATGGCCTTTGAGTCAAGTATTTTTACATCTAGTACTGAGAAATTACTGATTTGATACAAATATTTTTATACTTTTATAAAACATAGCATTTTTTAATAATGTTTGACTAATGTTAAAGTGATGTCAACATCCCAAAACTGTGTTAATGTTTTTAAACATGAGAGTACAAACTTGATGGCATAATAACCAAGCATAGATTTAAGTATAAGACTGTATTTTTTATTTACCGAGCAATTTTCTTACATAAAATGTTACTTATGTGGTTGAATCTGTCAAGCATTGAATAGATGGAATTAGATATTTATGAATGTTGTGGCTTTAAATCTGGAGGAATATGGTGCATTAAAGGCAAATTTTGTAGACAAATTGTTGAAATAATTCTAGTAAAATATGTAAATTTTCTACATATATATATATTTTAGTAGATTTAATGTTTTTTGTAGATTTGTACAAAGTTTAAGGCCTAAATGATTGTAATTTATTTGTAGATAAAGTATTCTTATAGAATCTCAACTATGGAAACAAAAAGAACATTTTTAGTGTGTTTGTTACATGTTTTTACAGTTAGATCTTTTAAGGGCTATAAGATATTATCATAGATAAATAATTGCTAACCACGTTGGTTTGTACCATACCTATACCATGGTACCTTGGTTTTATAAATTAGTAGAAAAGTTTTTCATACTGTAACCAAACTCACCTAGAAGACTTTATAGACATCACATTTTCAAAGATATATTTTTAGCTAAATTATAATATAATTTCAATTAAGCTATAGAATTCACGTTATGTGTCATTCACAATTATACATCTGCTTGTATGATATTTAAAATACAGCGGAGTCTTACTAATCAGAACTTGTGAGGCCTGAACCTTTTTGGCTAAGTCATTTTTTCATATTTTTTTGTGGCATTGCATTTACATGAACCTAGATGGCAGCAACAATACTCTACTATAACCCATCTGGTGCACATAAGTAAGACTGACCCTTGTAAGATGACTTCAAGCCTTGCATTCTAACATCAGATTATAGAGTTTACATTGGGAAAGCTAGAGGCCATCTACACATTCCACTTACCTACATGTTCATACTAGCAGGACTCTACTTTATGCAATTGTTAAAACTTTTTAAATAAAATGAAAACTAAATTTAGACAGTATTTAGTGACTAGATTTGTATATTAAAACATGTAAATACATTAGGTTGATTATTGCACCATGGAATCTATGAACTGATCTAACATCACATAGATGTTAAGTATCGTCCAATGTTCTGGGCTGTGTCTTTTGATAAGTTAATTTTATATTTGTTAAATGAATATTTTTAGGTTTGAGTTTTGTCCTAATTTAGTGCATGTTAAACAAGTAAATAGTGATTATTTATGTCAAACATTTGTGTTCTTTTACAAGTTTTACTGTTTTTATTGTTTAGTTTATGTCAGCTAAATTGATTGTTAAAGGGCATTTTAGACTACAACGTTTATGTTATATTTGTTATTTTAGATCATTCGTATGAATTTTACTGCTGTTCATGCTCACTTTTGCTTTGGATTTTATTTTTTGAAGATCTTTAAACTCTCAAAGCCTAGTAAGGACTATATGCAGTCCTGATTCTTGTATTCTGCTTATTACACAATATTGATATTTCACTGAGGCCGATATTTTAATAGGATTAGAAATGTCGACTAAACTAAAAAAATGTTTATCACAAGTTTCAAGTTAATGTTCTTAAAGTTGTTAACAGCTTCTTTTTATGAGAAGCTCAGTCAATTATTACGTGCTTGCAACAATGTTTAACATAAAATATAAACTTATTCAACAACAATTTATAAAATTTCAATATATAAAACTTAAACCAGAACTTTATAACTGAAAAATAAAATAGTTAATTTTAAAATGAAATGTAAAACTTACTGTTCTTAAAAACAAATATACCAAACTGTATCTAAGCCTTTCTTAGGATTTTTTGGACAATGTACTGTAACAAATTTACTACTATCAAATAGTTAAGTAGGTTAGGAGAGATAATTAAATTGACAATATCAGTGATTGAATATCAACATCACAAACATTTATAATCTTTATACAACTTTCTAATTTTTTACAAGCTATTTTCCTTTCCTTGCGCTGTAATTGTCCTAATAAAAAAATTTTCTATACAATTTTACATGGTGTACCCAGATTGTTAGTACCTTTTTTAGAAGAACCTCGCAGATATGTAAGATTTAATGTTTAAAGTTTATTGTTGGTGATGGTAAGTTTATATTGATTATTTAATTGATTATCGCAGATACTATCTATCATTGGTAGGTTGAACACAAGTTTCACAACATTTCTTGATCTGGAATCTGATCCAGTCTTCAGGTGGGAAGAACTCGTTAATAGTGATTACATGATGAAGATTGGCCCTGGATAAAATAATTTTGTAGAGTTGTACCATGGATGCATAACTAAACAAAACTATTAAAAATTATTTTTTTTTTAATGGTACATTTTAAACATGGGCGTTCATCTAACTTTTCCATAAGGCTAACCTCCTAAGAGGGCCCCGGTCTGGTTGGAACACACTAGCTCCCGGTAAAGAGAGGGTCCGAGTTTAATAGTTTAAATTAATGTTCAAAATGTTTGATTTTACACATTTCTTACCTTAACTCTTCAGACATATTTGTGAATTATTAGCTTTTATGTTACAACTGTAAAATTTATAGAAAAATGGATAACAAGGGGTCTTATAAGGCTAGCCCCCCTATTGATCTAAAACGCATGATTTAAAATGTTGTGTTCATTTAGTAACTGAGACTACTAGATAAAATGTTGTCTTGTTGTTTTAAATACCTGCAGCTTAAATAAATCCTACAACATTTGGTAATTATATGATTTCAAAAGTGTTTTCTGAATGCCTGAATAAAACATCCAATCAAATCCTACTGTAGGCATGACAAATCTTTGCATGATCCAAAGGATGACAAAATGGACCTCACCCTCACACTCGCCACCACAATATACAGGGTTAGTAAAAAGTGTGGAGACCCCCTGTTATTTTCTTAACGGCCCATACTAGAAAAACCAAACTCGGCACACCTTTATGACATGTTATGAAGTACTTTTTGGGCATAACCGCCACTTGGTGTACATCCCCAAAATGGGGGATTTTGGGGGAAACTCAAAATTTTCAAATACCCATCGAGTGACCCCTCATTTTGAAGGTCCTGGTAAAAGAAAAACCAACAACGCAAACTAGAGGTATCTATCTCAATCCAGTAAAAAATGGCAGCTGATTGAAATCTTTAGAAATCGGAAATAACTTTTATATTCTAACGGCTGCCTTATTTTACTGTGTTAAGATAATAATAATGTATGATAATGTTAAGATAATCTCTAATTTGCGTTGTTAGTTTTCTTTTATTATGACCTTCAAAATGAGGGGTCACTCAATGGGGCTTATCATTTAAAATGATTGAGTTTCCCATAAAATCCCCTATTTTGGGTTTGGGAAAAAGTGGCTATTAGGCTTAAAAAGTACTTCATAACATGCCAAAAAGGTGTGTAGAGTTTAGTTTTCCTAGTGTGAGCCGTTACAAAATTTACAGGGGGTCTCCAGACTTGGAAAACTGTAGGTAAAATTTAACTTCTGAGAATATCAATTGGCTGCCATTTTTTACTGGATTGAGATATAGACCTCTAATTTGCGTTTTTGGTTTTCTTTCTCAATGGGTCTTTGGATTTGAAATTTTTGAGTTTCCCCCAAAATCCCCCATTTTGGGGATGTAGGTGCACCAAGTGGTGGTTATGCAGAAAATGTACTTCATAACATGCCATAAAGGT